CTGCACCTTCGGCAGCTACCAGCTTCCTATTTTGAGGACTGTACAGTGTGAACAATGATACCAGCTTAACAAAATTAAAAAAAAAAAAATTAGAAGTTTTAAAATCTGCTTTACTTGAAGTAGCATCGAACTCATGCCCACTCACTTCATCTTACAGTCAGGTTATGTTTTTTTCAGAGTGAGCTGATTTTTTTGGCATGAGTTTGGGGGAAAACAGTTAAATTACACTCCTATGCCTGCAGTAATTCAAGTTCTTTGCTTTTAATTCACTCAAGAAGTAAGGCTGGCACTGGAAAGAGTAATGACTGCTACTGCCCATCTCTTGTCTCTCAAAGGCTCCAAAGCCTTCAGCGTTACTCCTCGCAAAGGGAAGGACCTGCCACTAGAATACACTTCTGGTTTGTTTTCAAAGCAGTCCCCAGTGCAGGTAAGCAAAACCCAACAACATGCCTATTCTCTTGAGGAGGAGCAGCAACTACACAGCACTCGCAGCCAAAAAACTTTCTAAAGGCATTAGGAGACTCAGTCACAAAGCCTCACTAACCTGCTTGTAATTAAAGATCACAGCAAAACACACACCCTCAAAGGGATCAAACTGAATTTACAGAAATCGCTGAAATACTGCGTATTTTCTAGCCGAAGAATTTGACTTTGCAACTTCAGAACTGCAGCCCCACTTGCCTGACGGTTTATGCCCCGCCTCGGACTTTCAAAAATCCCTGACACACAGTCTCAGATTCATTTTTTTTTTTTAACACCAGTGCATGCTAGAGTGACACAACTTGAATTACTTAACCAAATACGTTAGAATTATTTCCTAATTTAAGTAAAACAAACCAGAAGAGGCAATGACTGGGCTGTGTAATAAGCAAACAGCTGGACTGTCATCATCTGCACAGCCGTCAACAGCCAGCTGGAATAATTCTAAGGTGCTGTTTAGTGCCACTTAAAGACAATTATTAGTGTATGAGGTTCACAGTTAGCAGTAGCTGACAGTGATTTACCCGACATACGGTAGCCAACTTTGTAGTAATTTTCGAAGTTATATGTGCAACAAGATTAAACATTAACAGATGCAGGTTAAAATCCATATTTAATGAGCAGATTGTAAATAATAACAATGGTCTCTGATACTCTTCCTGTCTCCTTCCTCTTGTAAAGAGACTGGTTTGGGCGATAAAAAGTAACCTGGAACAATAAAGCAAGCACAGCTATGTCTTGGGCACTGTGACTACAAGGTACAGTTTATGGAACTGAATGGAAGACATGCTTAATTTCTCAAAAAAAAAAAAAAAAAAAGGGTTTTAAAAGAAGTAACAGTTCTCTTTAGCATACCCTATCTTTTCTACAAACCCACAAACTTACCTAGAAACAGCAATATATGAGCTCACCAGATAGATGAGCTAATCTCCTACAACTGAGTAAGATGGCCTCCGAATCTAACGTGATACAAAGGATATCAAGCAATGATTCTTAGAATATGGAAAATAAGACATAGCAGCTGATATGAAGCATCACCAGCACCACTTCAGGCAGCTTTCCAGAAGGCCAAGCAAAAAAAACCAAGTTTTCAGTTATCAGAGTTTCTGTCTCTCTCCAGTGCTCTGCCAGTTCCCGCTGGTGCCAACAAGATGTACCTGATTATCACAGGACAAAAAAACCCCCAACACCTGAAAAGGTTAGTCGTCACCTATTGAATGAAACCAGGCCCCTGCTCCCCCAGGGTTTTTGTAGCATTTCTCAGATTTAACCAGTCTCTACTAGAATAATACTCACCTATCACTGTTTTCCCTGGGAACAACGTTTTTAGAGACTCTGCTGTTAGAAGGCTCAGTGCAAAACCAAACCATAATAAGATCTACAGGCACCCACTGTGCTGGGTTTCCAACTGAGCGGAGCTGCCAGCCTCCTGAGAAGACTTACACTACTACTGGCAAAGAAATAAACATTCAAGTTGGTGGCAGCAAACTCCACCTTAGTGAGCCCTTAAAGTATTTATCTCCTCACGATACCTACCAAAGCAGCTCATGCAGGAGACGGCCGGATCCCCTTCCACGATTTTTGTCAAACGCATAAGCAAATATTTTAGCACCATTTCCATCAGCATCTACCTCCATCCGGGCCTAGAGAAAAGGGAAAGGCTTTGAGAACATCCAACACTGAATAGCAGAGCCCTTGCTCCACTGGGACACAGAAAGGGCCCACTGTTTAACACTTCTCTCCTAGAGGTCACTTGACCTTAACGGAATTTGAGTTGTTTCAAACCTCCAAGAGGAACCAAGCAGCTCTGCTATTGTAATTTATGAAGATGGGAAAGGGAAGAAAGGAGGCTGGACACAGCAGGAGTCTGCTGGACAAAGAGCAGCCACAATCCAGTTGTGAGCCTGGAGGGCCAGGATCCATTCTCTGCTCTGGCGCAGATGTTCTGCAGAGCCATCAGCAAGCCACCATGGCTTTTGTTCTCCGTGTTGCTTTACACCAATCTAATTAGGCGCCGCTAGTGAAAGGAGTGGTCCTGCCCTCTTTTCTCCACTCCACAACTTGGTGTTGGCGCTAACGCTCACACAGTGCACTAAGAACCAGACAAATTTCGGATACTCGCAGTGTATTGCTGCTCTCAGCGACAGGACGCGCTTAGAGCGAGCTACCGCAGAGGAGGAATGGGCAAACATGTTGTTTTCTGGTAGCAGCGTTGCCACAGCACTTAGAACTCCTAAGAACAGCTCTGAAGTACCCGCTGCGCTACAGGCACTAAGCAAAAAGATGGCCCCTCCTCCAAAACAGCCTTACTTTTAGAAGATTTTTCAGAATATTTTTGCAATCAAGAATTCTTTCCCTTCCAAAGCCTTGGTAGAATCCACTTACCCTCTTACAGGGGATGTTAAGAGAAAACCATTTTTTCTGATCCCACAGTAAACTACAGTAAAAGAAGTTTTTCTCATCCAAGAAGGACCATGTGCAGAAAGAAAATTTTTCAAGTTTGCCAAACCAAATAAGGGCAGACAAACTATCGGTTCTCAAAAAGTACACTAACAGAAAGCTGAAAACAAAAAATTATATAATAAAGTTAACTTGTTTTAAACTAATGCTTGTTTAAAATAATTTTAAAGAATCCCCAAACCAAAAAACCCAGAACTTTTCCTGCTGGAAAGCATTCGCATTTCGATCGTTTCAAACTCCCCGCCCCCCCAAAGCATGAAAGTTGCGGGGCAGAGCGCGTCCACGGGCGGTTGTATGTAAGGGTGTCAGGCAGAAAGGGAAAAAAAAAAACCCTTCAGCAACAGATTGCAGCGA